TGTGTGCTATTTTTCTCATCCATTTTAACAGTGTCTATATTTTAATTAGTGTGTTTAAATTTGATATTCAAAGTAATTTTTATGTAGTTGGAAAAAGATCTACTATATTTGTTACTTTTTTCTATATATTGCCCTTGTTCTTAGATTTTTTTTGTCTTTATTCTTTTTGTGCCTTCATTATTTTAATTGAACATTTTATATTATTTCATTTTCTCTCTACCCTAGGATATCAATATATGTTTTTTTTTGCATTTTGTAGCAGTTGCTCTAGATTTGGCAATATATATTTTCAACTAATATAGGTCCACTTTCAAAACACTATACATATTCTTGGTTAATGCAGGTGAGTTTTTTTTTCTTTTTCCTTTAAAAAAAAATGTTATTATATTTTTTAAAATTAAAGTTGTCATTCGATATTATATTAATTTTAGGTGTGCAACATAGTGGTGAAACATTTATATAATTTATGATTGATCCATCCCATAAGTCTAATACCTACCTGGTAACATACATAGTTATTACAATGTTATTCACTTTAGAGATGTACTTTACATCCCCGTGACTGCCATTTTGTACTTCTTAATCCCTTCACCTTTTTCACCCAGCCACTGAACTTCCCTACCACCTGGCAACTACCAATTTATGCTCTGTATTTATGAGTCCACTTCATTATTGTTTCTTTATTTTGTTTTTTAGATTTCACACATAAGTAAAATCATATTATATTTGTCTTTCTCTTTCTGACTTATTTTACTTAACATAATATCCTCTAGCTTCATTCATGGTGTTGCAAATGGAAAGATTTTATTCTTTTATATGGCCAGTTAATATTTCATTGAGTATATGTACCACATCTTCTTTATTCAATTGTCTAGTGATAGACACTTAGGTTGCTTTCATATCTTGGCTATCATAAACAATGCCGCAATGAATATAGGGATGTATATATGTTTTCAAATTAATGTCTTAAATTTCTTCAGATAAATATCCAGAAGTGGAATTACTAGGTCATAAGTTCCATATTACCCAAAGCAATCTATATATTTAATGCAATCCCTATCAAAATACCAATGGAATTTTTTAGAGAACTAGAACAAATTATCTTAAAATTTATATGGAACCATAAAAGACCCCAAACAGCCACAAAAATATTGAGAAAGAATAGTTGGAGGTATCATGCAACCTGATATAAAAGTATACTACAAGGCTATAATAATTAAAACAGCATGGTGCTGGCATAAAACCAGACACAGATCAATGGAACAGAATAGAGAGCCCAGAAATAAACCCATGCTTAAATGGTCAATTAATCTATGACAAAAGAGACAAAATATACAATGCTGTAAAGACAGTTTATTCAATAAATGGTGTTGGAAATATTGCACAGATATATATAAAAATGAAACTAGATCACCTTCTTACATAATATACAAAAATAAACTCAAAATGGATTAAAGACTTAAATGTAAGACCAAAGCCATAAAACTCCTATAAGAAAACATAGGCAGTAAACTCTCTGACATTGCTCTTAGTAATATTTTTTTGGATCTTTCTCCTCAAGCAAAGGAAACAAAAGAAAAAATAAACTAATGAGACTACATCAAACCAAAACTTTTTTGTACAGCAAAAAATGGGAGAAGATACTCATCAATGATACATATGATTAGTGGTTAATATACAAAATTTATAAAAAACGTATACAACTTAACAAGAAAAACGAACAATCCAATTAAGAAAATGGTTAGAGAAGCTTTCTGCCATTATTTCTTCAAACAAGTTCTCTAACCCTTGCTTACATTTGACCTTTCCTGGCACTCCTATGATTTGAATATTGTTATGTTTCATGTCATCCCACAGCTCCCTTAAAGTGTCCTTCTATTTTAATTGTTTTTTCTTTTTGGATCTCTGTGTGATTTTTTCTACCCTGTCTTCTAATTCACTGATCTGATCCTCAGCTTCCTGTAATCTGTTGTTTATTCCTTCCAGTGTATTCTTTATTTCTGCTATGGCATTATTTTCTTCATTGTTTCCATATATTTTTTCATGCTGTGGAGCATTCTTACAATCAGTATTCTGAACTCTATATCTGATAGATTGCTTATCTCCATTTTGTTGTTTTTCTGGAGACGTCTCTTGTTCTTTCATTTGGGACTTTTTTTTTGTTTCCCCATTTTGGCTGCCTCTTTGGGTTTATTTCTATGTATTAGGTAGATCTGCTAGGAGTCTCAGTCTTTTTGGAGGGTCTCTGGTGCAGGCCAATTTCAGACGTGCTTTGTGACTGGCCCTGAGTACCTGTTTGGAGCTATGAACAACACTAGGCTTGAGGTCTCCTCTGCTGGGGCTGGGTGCATTTGAACAGGACCAAGATGTAAATGAAAGTCTGCTTTTCCAAGGCCTGAGTCCAGAAGCAGATCAGACAAAGACTCAAAGCACTTGAGGTCCACCTCTGGTTGCATGCTGATTAATCTGATTCTCTTAATGTGTGTCAGGCTCTAGAAACTACTCTGGGTAAGGGAAGTGGTTTTCCAGCAGGGTGGGGCAATTTGTTCCCCCTCAAGCAAAAGCACAAGATCATCTGTCTAAGAACGTTGTCCTCTGAAGTATGGGCAATGACTAGGGGCAAGAATTCACAGGGGTGCCCTCTGAGCTCTATCTTAAGAGCCCACAACCCTAGACTCCTCTCATACAACTCCAGTCCACTCTGCTCTCTTTTGCTGGAGCCCAAGGTGAGTGGCTGTACAGGAAACTTTGTGCATTGGCCCTTTAAAAGGGTGCCTACATTTCCAGTTCTCTCTCCCTGGCAGACAGAAATCTTTCTGTTTTTCATAGCCAGGTGTTATGTGGGCACCTTTCTCAGTTCTGGTGCTCTTGGTTGGGAAGCCCAACCTGGGGTTTAGGTCACAGTCTTCAGTGGGAACCCCCCCCCCC